AAAAAAGAATTAAGGTAGAAAAGTATAAAAAGAAGTGGATCCCTAAAAACAACAACAAAAAAGCAGTAGAAATAAGCAGTAGAAAATAAGAATTCTCTTAGGTTTTGATAAGCTAAAGATAGGTAAGGTAGAAATAAGCTGTAGAAATAGAGAAATAGGTAGAAATAAGTGGCAGAAATAGAGACCTAAGCGGTAGGAAATAAACTGTAGGAATAGAGAAATAAGTAGAAAGTAAGCAGTAGAAAATAAGCTGTAGAAATAGAGAGTAGGAAATAAGTTGTAGGAATATAGAAATAAGTAGAAAATAAGCGGTAGCAGTAGAAAATAAGTAGAAATAAACTATAGAAATAGAGAAATAAGCAGGGGTTGCAACCCAGGAAAGGTTTGGGCAAGGGCAGCCAGACCTACCTATGGTTCTGTAAGCGGGGGTTGCAACCCAGGAAGGTTTGGGCAAGGGCAGCCAAGCCGACCTATAGTTCATAGTTAGAGGTAGAGAAATAAGTAGAAATAAGCTGTAGGAATAGAGAAATAAGTAGAAATAAGCGGTAGAAATAAGCTGTAGAAAGAGAGAAATAAGTAGAAATAAGCAGTAGAAATAAGCTGTAGAAATAGAGAAATAAGTAGAAATAAGCAGTAGAAATAGAAAGTAAGTGGTAGAAAGAAATAAGCAATAGAAATAAGTGGTAGACGTTAGAAAATAAGCGCTAAGGTAGAAATAAGCTGTGGAAATAAGCGGTAGAAAAAAAAGTGGAAATAAGCTGTAGAAATGCAGAAATAAGCAGGGATTGCAACCCAGGAAAGGTTTGGGCAAGGGCAGCCAGACCTACCTATGGTTCTGCAAGCGGGGGTTGCAACCCAGGAAGGTTTGGGCAAGGGCAGCCAAGCCGACCTATAGTTCATAGTTAGAGGTAGAGAAATAAATAAAAAATAAGCGGTAAGAAATAAGCTGTAAAATATAAGTGGTAGGAAATAAGCTGTAGAAATCGAGAAATAAGTAGAAATAAATGGTAGAAATAAGCCGTAGGAGTAGAGAAATAAGTAGAAATAAGTAGAAAATAAGTAATTAGGAGGTACAAAATAAGGGAGAAATCTCCTAGGTTTTGTTTAAGCTACTGTAAAGCAGAAGATGGCTGTGGTGGAGGATATTTAAGGAAGTAATTTTTGTTTTAGATCGAGATTGTAAGCTCTTGCAGCAGTTGCATTGTTTCTGGCTCTGGTTATCTTTGCTTGTGCGACCTGATAGCTCCCTGGGACTTTGGGTCTGTGTGAGACCCCAGACTCAGAATTGGAAGTCTGCTCTGCAGGACTGAGGGCTGCTCATTTCCATGCAGCCGCGGATAAAGAAAAAAGCCGAGAAGGGACCAGACTTCTGCCGGCATGGACGAGATTGATTTGACTGGGACTGGTGCGGACTCAGTGCCGAGGTCAACTGTCCAAACAGCCTGATGCAGGGCACTAGTTTGGATCTACGACATCTTTGCATCGGTGGCATCTTACTACACTAGTGCGCGAGGTATCAACATGGAGTCAGGTGAAGAAGATGGCAACCGAGGCCAAGCAGATGTTAGAAAAGCAAGTGGAAGCTAGGCTAGCGTTGGTGAACTGTCAGTTTTCTGTAAAATCTTGCGGAGCTAAACCTAAGGACTCTGGGTGGAATGTCCTGAAAATGTTGACTTGTTTGTAGTTTGGTTTTGCATTGGTATTGCTTTGTTATTAGCCAGAGTTTTGTTCGCTCTTGTTAACATTGCTGGGTCTATAGTTTTGTTAATAGCCAGAAGTATGTTATGATGATGTTGAATAAGTTTTTTGGATAATGTAAATAGGCGTGTTTAAAAACAAAAGTAAAGGGGGATATGTGGGGCGTGGCTACAGTGTTATGGCCAGGTACAAGCCTCAGACTAATGAAATC